AAGATATTAGGGCTGGAGAGATGGCTCAGCAGTTAAGAGCACTGACTGATCTTGCACAGGACCCGAGTTCGATTCCCAGCACCCACATGGCAGCCACAAACTATCCTTATCTCCAGTTCCAGGGGAATCTGAAGCTCTCTTCTAACCTCCACGGCATGGCACAACATGGGTACACTCACATAGATGCAGGCAATACACACACACATAAAATAAAAATAATAAGTAAAATATTTTTAAAAGAATTTGAAGGTACGAGGACATGCACGCATTTTCATCTTGGGTGCATGTATGTGCAGTGCAAGTAACAAATATGTTCATGTGTATGTTTAGGCCAGAGGTCAACCTCAGGTGGCATTCCTCTGGTAGGACCAATCATGTTTTGTTGTATTTTTAAACAAATTCTCTCACTGCACTGGGACCTGCCAATAGACAGGGTGGCAGACCAGGAAGGCCCAGGGATGCTCCTGTCTCTTCCTCCCCATCACGAGGACTACAAACATGCACCACCAGACCCTGGTTGTTTGTTTGTTTTTCTACGTGTAATCTGGGTACCAGACTTGGATCCTTGTACTTGCACAGCAAGCACTTTGCCAACTGAATCATCTGCCTAGTACATTTGCAATTTTCTATCAACAAGGTAGTTGGCATTTCATCAACAAGGTACTTCTAAGTTGGAAAGAGAAATCAAAAGAGTATTAACAATCCTTGCTTTGTGCTCACAGTCATATCAAAACAGGGCGTGAGCTCTAACACCTAACGTTCATCCTCCCCATGGCTGATTCTCCAAAAGTTTCCCTACACTGGGAGCTGATCTTATATGTAGTATCTCTCATTTAAATTCAAATTTCCAGACTTCTTCCAAATTGGCAGACTTAGCCAAGAAAACTTTTCTACACTCTTCTACTTCTTTTTCTGTACAAATCTTTACGAAACTAAATGTGGCCTCTTGAGATTGTTTCTCTTAATGCTTACATGCATTATGCATAAAAGGAAGAAAGTCTGAGAACAGATCCAGAGATTAGTAATTTTTTAACTTAGAACATGCTAGGGACAAGTAGATCCAAATTGTCATAGTCTAATAATTTTATTGTTTTGGAGTGATTACATGCTATAAATAGTAAAGTGACATCAGAAAAGAATTAGCATAGGGTGTTCCATGTAAGTGTCAGAGGCTCTAGGGAATCACAGATAGACATGTGCACTGACCCAGAGAGCTCAGCGTAATGAGGTTGGATATCCACTGGATCTTGAGGGAATGGGGAAATGGGGGACAAAGCAACCGTAACCCAGGAAGGAGGTGGCAGTGCCCCCGTGGAGAAGCTGCAGGTGGCAGCATAGGGACTCTGCCCTCACACAGGAATGAAGCACAGCTGGTACAAAGGTGGCACATGGCCAAAGCCACTGGCAATTGGGGTGGTGTCAATGTCCTTTACATCAACCACAGGCTTCAGTTTAAAATTCTGTAAAATTGTGGTGAAGAACAAAAACAGCTCCATGCGAGCCAGGCCTTCTCCTGCACACATCCGCTTTCCTGAAAACAGAAAACAGATTTGTTCCTCAAATATAATGCTATGAATTGTCGTGGAGAGTATGCAGTGAGTAGCTGATGAGAATTAATCAGATGAGTGGATGGAAGACACCCATAATTGGAAGGATGGTTGACTAGACAGATGCACTAGAAATGTTAAATGTATTACATTTGTAATTCAGTGTGTCAAGCACTCTTCACTCACTTCAACTTATCTACTTGCAATAACCACTCCCCCAATTTTGCTCCTTTGACATTTCAAGTTTATAAATCTTAGCATTTCTTATGTAGTGGTCCAAGGAACAACGTCTAAGAAGGCATTAATGTAGTTTCCTTCTGTACCTCCTGCCACATTTTTTCCTCCTACTTTATTTCAAAACCACCTGACTAAACATGTCACTCTCCTACTTTAAAACTTTAAATAGAAGCCAGGTGTGGTGGCATATACATGAAATCCCAGCACTTGGGAAGATCAGCAATTTGAGGTCAGCCTGGTGTACAGAATAATCTGTAGCTGAAAAGATCCTGGCCCAGCTATGAGGTAAGATCCAAGTGGACCCTGACGTTCCATTTCCTGTCTGATCCGCCCCAGGTGACCAACAAGCGCTGCTCTGATCCTTCCCTCAGGACCTATGATCTGTGCTACTTCCTCTTATGATCATTTCTGAACTCACAACAATCTCACCCCTCTGGGTTTCATCATTATGTGCTTGATTACACAGGAGCAGGCATCACTTGCATTCTATGCTTTTTTTCTGTTTGAGAATATCACACTTATATAGGCATATAAGTACCCCCCTGGCAAAATATGAGTTTCTTAAAACAAGGCTCACCATGCACATCTTGGTATGTACACTTCTAGATCCAACACAGGACTCAAACCTTGTAGTAAAAAATGAAGGTGACTCCATGTCCCAAGACTCAGTTGAACAAGAGCATTATCACGAGTAAAGAAAACTCAAGGGGCTCTGGAATCACTGCAGACTATCCATCCACAAGGCCAAGGCCTTTCTCAGCCTGCATTTACTTGGAAGGCTCTGACCCACTGCCTCTTCAGAAAATGTCCCTCCTGCACTCCATTTCCTCTCTAAAGTGCCTCCTCCTCTTGTCTTGCTTCCTTGCTCCCTATGAGTCACACAACTTTCCTTGTCCTGTGAGAACATGTTGGTGTATGAAAGAGCAGAATGTGAGCAGCTTCCCTCGAATCCCCTGAGAAACCTGAGCTTCCCTCTCTCACAGCACTAATCCACTGGGTTACAGTGACGTTTACTCACCACCTTCCCTAACTCAGTTGTGAGTCTCTTAAGAGCCCTCTGCATTCCCTAAGATAGCTGCATTCCCAGAGCTCTCAGGGAGTGAGGGACATCACTGAGGAGATACTCAAAGTATGGACTTAGATGCCTTTCCTACGGCAGGGGAGAAAAGTCTAAACAAAGTTCACTCCAAAGAGGAGCTCCTGAACAGATTAGTGATGCATCCAGGGACTAAATTCAATTGATAAATAGCAAATCCCACTAATGTGTCCCAGCAAAGAGGATGTTGTCACAATCAGGGAAAGTACGCAGTCATTCAAGTGGTGCTCCTTATGACATACAAAAAGCAAATCTACCAGCTCCAGCAGAGGCACCATGGAAATTGCATCTGATCCTAAAAAGTTATCTTGTCCTCCAAAGTGCCAGTAGAAATATTCTATTACCTACTGAGAAAGGCACAAAGTAGTCACTCTTCTTGAAGTTGCCACTCTCATCCAGAAAGTGGCCAGGGTCAAACTTCTCAGGACTGGGAAATTCTCTGTCATCATGCAGCATGGATGTCAGTGACGTTATTATGGTGGTACCCTGCAGATAGCAAACCAACAAAATGAACGCTGAATGGAAAGAAAAGAAGGAACTCACCTAGATCAATCCGTTTGACTTAGAGGTGAAGATGCCAGTCCAAAGAAGAGTAGTGACATTTTCACACAGTCAGACCAAGTAAGAGAGGAATTTAAGGCCAGGAACAATGACTGCCACTGGACCTCCATTAGCAACGGAAGGACTAAGCACTTGAGAATTTGGGTGTGAAAACTTCTGAATCTATCACCAAGGTTGAAGATAGGAACCTGTCCTCGCCTGCTGCTGTGTTTCCTGCTGCTGTGTTTCATCACTTCAGGTCTTGCACAACTCATCAATTATGGTTTAAATCAAAGTCTATATATATGTTCACCCTTGAAAAGTCAGGAAAATTTAGAATTCTTTCATTCAAGCTTTTGCTAAGCACAGATAAGTTCTAGTTAGCAATCACTTTGGAGATAATATCAGCAAGTAGACCAACACCTTTTGAGTACTTTTCATTGAGATGTAATATGTGCTTCTTAGTATTTAAAACTGTGGGAACCTCATCATCACAGATGAACCCCACCTTTAAAACACAGAAAAGATGAAAATAGAACCATCATCATTTCACAGTTGAGGACTATCACTGAGGCAAGGCTCAACTAATGCTCCTGGGGCAGGGGACTTGTCTGTAGTGATGCAGCCACTGAAGAGGGCCCCATGCTCCAGAGGATAGCTCTGTACCCCTGTGAATGTTTGTGGCCTCCATTAAGCTCAGTAGGTCACAAAACAAAGACACATGAGAGCGGGAAGGGGAACTGTTGGGAAGAGAGGGTTCGGCAGGAGTGGAAGAGGGACCAGTGAGGGTGGAGGGGGTGAGTGTGATCAGATTTCATTATATTTGTATATGAGATTGTCAAAGAATCCATTTAATTTTAACATTAACTCATTTGTAAAACTGTTGGTAGGGGCTGACGAGATAGCTCAGCAGTTAAGAGCACTGGCTGCTCTTACAGTGGACTTGGGTTCAGTTCTCAGCACCCACTACCATCCATAACTGCAGTTCCAACTGTTCCAATGCCTCCTCCTGGCCTCCATGGGTAATACATGATGCAGATATACTTACATACATACAGGCAAAACAATCATACATATAAAGTTAAAATAAATAAAAATTTTAAACTATCGGTAAATTATTTGGAATAGGGTATTTAAGGATATTCAAATTTCATTTTCTAGGATTTTGTTTAATTTTATTTTTTTCCCATTTGTCAAACAGAACCTCAGCAGCAGAGAGGTTTGAAGATACTCTGTCAGGAAATGTGGACCTCAGCACCATCAACAGTGGGACAACAGAGCCCCAGGAGCCATGAGCTGATGAAGTAGGACATGGAACAGCATTTCTTTAATGTCCTTGTGGAGTCTCATCTCCAAGAAAACTTTCACACAAAGTCAGACAGAAGAACATTTCATACAAGTGGCTTTGACTTTTAAAAAGAATCAGTATCTCAACATGAAATAAAGAAGAGGAAATGTTCTCAAGTTTGGAGAACCAAATGGAAGACTTGTTCCTTCATTGTACAATGAGAAGTTCTCTCAAAAAAAAAACTGTAAGAAATATCTTAATAACTACATAAATATTTTAAGATGCTTATTGGGTAAAATACATTCTGAAGTATTTAGGTCTCAAGTGTGATGGACTAAGTGAATTAAAATGTTGTTTTAAACATACTTTTATGTATTATTATGTATTTTATGTATTATTATGTATATGTCAACACACAAACACATATATCCACTTTTATGAAAAGTAGAGGTGAACCACATATTTCTGTTTAGGACATTTAAGACCAATAATTTTATTTTAAAACACTTCACATATTACTATCTTAAATTATTCTCTTTTATAGTTGCAACAATAAGCCCTGAAAATGTTACTGTAGTAAAAAGGGAGATGTATTTTCAGCAAACAACTGGGACAAATATTTATAAAGAAATAGGCTACGTTTATCTCACACCAAAAAAAAAATGATCTTTTAATGAAACTTACGTAGGAGCTAAAACTTTTAGAAGAAAACCTAAATGCAAATATTTTGGACTTCATGATGGCAAATAATGTTTATCAATGAAACAAAAACATAAATCTTTAAAAACTTATTGATGAATTGGACGTTACCAGAACTTAAAACTAATGCTCTTTAAGGGATTCTTAAGAAAATATACATATTATATATATCAAGCATGATGTCACACACCTGCAATCCTAGCACCTGGGAGACTAAAACATGAGATTTGCAAGCTCACAGCCTGAAAAGAAAAACTTATAAAGCTTATCAACAATTAAAAAGTGACTTAAAGAAATAGGTGTGGTGGTGCATGCCTTTAATCCCAGCAGAGACATGGGGATCTCTGTGAGTTTGAGGTCAGACTGGCCTACATAGTGAGTTCCAGGCCAGCTGGGGATACAGGGAGAGCCTGTCTCAAAAAGACCAAAAAATAATTAAATAACATAAAATAAAAAGTGACTTCATACAAAATATACAAAAAGCTAAAGAATTAAAGAATAGGAATAAAATGACAACAAAATATAGGCGAAAAAATAAATAAATAACATAAAATAAAAAGTGACTTCATACAAAATATATAAAAAGCTAAAGAATTAAAGAATAGGAATAAAATGACAACAAAATATAGGCATATAATTTGAGCATATATAGTACCAAAGAAAATGCATGAATGGCCAGTCAACGCAAGAAAAAAGATGAACATTTCCTGATTACTTCTCAGGAAAGATCGTAAAAGGGAAAATAAAATGTGTAATCCTAATACAATGGCTACAGTGGCAAAATACAAAACCACTAATAATGGTGACAGGTGGAAAACAAAAACAGCACAACCAATTCACAAAATAGTTTGATTGTTTGGGATAAAGCCATCTCTTAACATCACCCCAGAGTATTTCCATTAAAAAGGGAAACTGGTGTCTACACAAGAAACCAGTGTACAAACATTCATAGCATCTCTATTCCAATAGTCAAAAATCTGGAAATACTTTAAATATCCATCAATTATTGAATGGGCTAGCAATATGCAGTGTTCTTATTATCATGGAGTCTTATCTGAGCATGAGGAGGAGCAACTAAAGATATGGACAATAACATGAGCAAATCACACACATATTCTCAACATAAAAAGCCAGGAAGGCTGATGTTGATCATGAATGCTTACATTTAGGTCACATGCTATTGTATACTGCAGCGTGAAAAGGTAAAACTACAGATTGCATCAAGACTGTAAAGGAGGGACTGGAGAGAAGGCACAGGTATTAAGAGCCCTGGCTGTCCTTGGGATCTGGATTCGTTCCCAGCACCCACATGGCAGCTAAAAACCAGCTGTAACTCCAGTTCCAGGGGATCCAACACTCTCTTCCAGCCTCTGCAGACATCGCACAACAAAGGTGCACTTACATACATGCAGGCAAAGCAGTCATTCATACACATAAAAATAACAATTAATGGCCAGGCTCTCTGCAACTGCAACTGGCATCTGGAAAGCATTGCCCGGGACTCCACCACCAGCCTTAAGACCTTTACTGGGAGATGATAGCATTGAAGCAGATATACTAAGTGTCACTGTACCAGAAAGCCAGCCTCTTCCAGGCTCCTTAGAAATTAATGGAAATAAAGTACAGAAGAAACTAATGGCCCCAGACATTAGCCTGACTCTGGACCCTAGTGAAGGTTCTGCTTTGTCTTTTATTTGGATGAAAGTGAGGAAATTGACCTTGATGGCTTAGACACTCCATCAGAGAACAGGAATGAGTTTGATTGGGAAGATGATCTTCCAAAACCCAAAACTACTGAAATAATTAGGAAAGGCACAATTACTGAATATACAGAAGAAAAAGAAAAAGATGGGCGCCAGCAGCAGATGTTCAGGATCGCTGAGCAGGACCACAGGGTTGATATGAAAGCCACTGAACCCTACAAAAAAAGTTATTAGTCATGAAGGATATTATGGGGATAGTTGTAATGCTGTTCTTGTATTTGCTATCTGTTTTATGCCTGAAGTGGTCAGCCTAACTACAGATACCTGATGGACAATCTCTTTAAATACATTGTTGGCACTCTGGAACTGTTAATAGCAGAAAACTACATGATAGTTTATTTAAATGGTGCAACGGGGCTGGAGGGATAGCACAGCCATTAAAGGCTAAGGCTAACAAACAAAACGTTAAATGGTGCAACGACTGGAAGAAAAATACCCAATCTGGGATGGCTCAGGAAGTGCTATCAGCAGATTGGTAGAAGGTTACAGAAAAACCTGAAGTCTCTCATCACTGTCCATCCCTCTTGATTTATCCGGATACTTCTGATTGCTAGAAGACCATTTACCTGCTCAAAATTCAGCCAAAAAATTATAGACGTCTTTAACTTGGCAGAACTAGTGGAACTTACTCCCATGGAATATGTTGGCATACCAGAATGCATAAAACAAGTTGATCAAGAGCTTAACGTAGGGGCTGCAGAGATGGATCAGTGGTTAAGAACACTGTTCTTGCAGAAGACTCAGGTTCAAATCCCAGCACCCACATGGCAGCTAACAACTGCCGTAACTCCAGTTCCAGGGGATCCAACAGCCTCTTCTGTCCTCCTTGGGCATTGCAAGACATGGGTGCACTTACCTACATGCACACATAACATTTGTACACATAAAATAAAAATAATAAATAAAATAT